GTCTAGCACTCTTCTTTAAAAGTTAGATCTTTTGATCCTCTGCGGCTGCACTCAAAAATGTGCAGTTTCCCTTTTATTGTTGTTTAGTGTAATGGCAGTACTACTTTCGAACAACATGTTTAAAAAGAACATGTCAGCTGTTAGTGCTGGTAAATTCTGTTTGATAATTAAATCTGAGGTTGTAATATGATAAGCTGCAACAGCAGATCTGACATAGCAAGAGTATGCCTCCTCTGACTTCACACATGCTGTTTTCATTTCTGCTGCACCAGCCTTTTTTTCACCTGAAAGTGCTTGAATAGCCCAAAATATTAACTTGTAAGCAGTTTGATTGGAATGATTTCTAATGATCTTAAAATACTGCTGGATGGTTTTCTATAATTTTTTAATAGGGTTTAACTAATTTAAGCAGGGTTAAACTTTACCCACTATACCTAGTCAGGTGGTGTGATTGGGTGCAGAGAGGCCAGATATTATTTTCACATACAGTGAAACCAACCATTCCTGGTTTGGTCAGTTTGCTTTACTTAATAGAACTTGTTTGGTGTACATGCTACGGTGATATCCGCACACATCCTTTAGAATTATGGCATTAACTCATCTTGATTTGCTGGTGTGTAATTTTCACTGCGGTAAAGTTGCAAGTAGGTCGGTCAATGTATTTCAACATACAGCGAGCTTGGTACTTAGTGCACTTTGATGTATTTATTAATTCCAATGATATATCAACATGTAAACTCAGTCAATGGTGTAACATAAAAACATAAAGCCTCGTTTTTTTGGGGAAAAACACACTAGTGATATTTTTAAGGCACACTTTTTACACTATGACCCAAAGTTGGTCTAATATCTGAATAATTATTTGCATTTAAGTTTGAATACGAACAATACCTCAAGTATAGCCGGTGTTAGTGTAATTTCTTGTATGGGTGTGCTATCCAACTCTCACACTTTAGCTTCCTCTTTTGCCAATCCTGAATATGTGTGACTGAACATAAAAAATACACACTTAACAGGATCTTAACAATAGCCATAGTGATGGTTCTCTAAGAAGTTATTTACTGTAAATAAGCATTTAATCAAAGGTTTCAAAAAATTTCAAAAAGTGTGTTGTTGAATTTTTTGTTTTAATAGTTTCATGCTATTGGTCAAGTGTAAACTAACTCCTTGGGTCGTACTTTTGAAATTGCAACACAGAGTACTACTTTGTCGGCATCCTGTTTATTGCTGCTCTGTCTTCCGTAGTAAGAGGAAGCTTGTGATTGTTAAAATTAAGTTCTATTAAATACCTGGAATGATCAGAAATGTAATTGTTAAGGAATGCAAAATATTGGGTTGCAATGCATTACTTCTAAAGGAGAGGCAGGTACGCCAGTTTGTGTAAATATTTCTCCAGACACATTGTGGACACACAGACACTGCTGCTGTTCATGTTGGAACCTTATGTTATGGTCCATCTTTAATATACCTGCAGTGAATGCATATCTGCTTGTGTTGTCCTGTGAAAAAGGGTTTACTCTCCTCGATCCCATGTATTTGTTTTCACTTGTTTCTGGAGTTCTTTGTAATTCATTTGATAAGATACTGCCGTTGCTTCCAGGGAATCCCAGTCACCCTGCCTGTGCTATGCTGGACAAGTTTTGCTGGCTGTGCAAAATGTAACAGGTTTTTCTAGGATTAACACATCCCATTACAGTGCTGGTGTTCGTATGACACAAAGCAGTTCTTTATCAACACCATCCTTGGTTGTTTTTTACTAATAAAAAACACTCCGCACATCCTCAGTTTCTCATAGACTTAAACATTGTAAGAGCTCGTATTTATTTTTTCCATTATTGATATTTCATCACAATTTGTTGCTTTGTATTACTGGATGAATTGGTTTTGTATTTGATTTGACTACTGTAGAGTGATCGCATGCTGTGAACAAGCTGCCCCATTAGCTGGTGTAACATAATAATGCTGTGGCACGGTGAACATAGTTTGTTTGCACTGTGTGTATTCTTGCCAAACACAGGACAAATATAATTGGCAAGCTTAATATCTCTTTATCTGGCCTTATTTTCTTATGTGATGGAAGGATTTGTGGTAGTGTGTAATGGTGCTTTCATGACAAACTGAAAAGATAGGAAACTCGGATTATAATCTTACATTCCTTCCTGGTATTCTGGATGGCTAAATGTGTAATCTGTAAATGTTATGAATCACTAATGTTTGGAACGAAGATATTGTGACTGAGTAGTTTCCTTCAATAGTTGTAGTGGATAAAGATAGAGAGCTTTCTGAACACGATGAGAAGCTCGCATTTGCATAGATCTTTTCATGTGGATAATTATGATGGCCATTCGTGTTTTCTGCACAGCTTAGGACGTCAGCTCTGCCTTTAGTTTGTGCTTAAACAGGCAGAATATGGTGTAACACAGACGAGAGGCCAGCCCAGACCACTTCAGGGGAGGTGATGGTTTGTCGTGTCCACGTCCCTGTGCACGATGGTGTGCAGGAGGTCACTTGACCTCCAACCCTTGGGTCAGGTGACCCTTTGAGGCCATTGTATAGGGAGCAAATGTCGTAGGAATGGGTTAAAAAGGCTGAGCAGTGACGGTGACATGTCCGGGCATGCTGCTTAAAGGGAGACAGAGAAAAATAGGGAGAGGTTAGAGTCATTGATGTGAACGATTCCACTTGGACTTGTAAAGAATGTATTAGCTTAAAATTAAATTACACAGTTTACCCGATTAGTTCCTTTTATGCACTTTCGTCAAGTAATAAATAAGGATGAACAAGGTAAACATTTTTTATTTTTTTTAAATGGCTTCTTCAAAACAAAAAAGGCATAGCACAACTGACTGAAGGTAGGGACATGACTGGGCAAATGTTCAGTATTTGAATCCAAGATGGTGTACATTGTTTGTCTCTAACTTTAGCATACAATTATTCTTGCGACAAATATTGCGACAGATTTTATGCTTTTTTAAATTTATATAAGAAATAGGATGCAAAATTCTCCTTTGCACCTGCAACTTTCTTGAGCCCATTATTTTTTTTTTATTTTTTAACGGCTTAAAAAGTTGATTCTAATTACAAAGATACAAAATGAAGGAATCCTGCAGATCCTCCAAGCTATGTCATTTAAATAGTTGTCTTGCCAAAACGGATTTGACCACATATTTAGTATAAAGTACAAACTTTTGATGGGAGTGTATCAAATGTCTGTAGTTTTAATCAATGCCTTCTTGAGTTTCAAGTAACATTATTTTATTTGGATATCATTAATGTCACCATTGATATTCAGGAATAACATATTATGCCATGACATATAGAAGGATGATTAATATCCTATACGAGTATTAATAATACAATGGCTAATGTACATCTTGGAGTGTCTGTGGGTGGGACTTGAAGATAAAGAAGAAAATGGTACATGTAGGTAATGATAGCAGTGGCACACAATACATTATTGGAAATGTTCAGCAGCATAACAACAAGTGTAATGATGGACTTGATCTCATCACTTGCACAGCTATTGTTATATTTTTCTAAAGCATACCTCATAGTTTTGTAGTGACTTCTAAACTCTTTCAGCTGTTTTTTGTGTCACAGTAAACAATTGTTGGCTCATTTTTTCAGTCTACTATTGTGGCATGGCAATGTAATTAAGAGCAAGAACCATTTTGAAACGATTTAAATACAAGAAACAACCAAAAGTATATATCCTATAGGTTAAATCGTCTTACAGTGGACAGATGAAAGCAATACGTTTGAGCTGCTGGCCGTTATATGTTATTATAGTTCATCCCTGCTTGCAGCTTTATTGCAACATGACATTGATTGAAATCTTGCACAAGTTAATGAATTAAGGATATCATTTTACATTTTTTCTCGTTGATCTTCTCAGCAGCACTGGATTGTGTACGTGTGTGTGTGTCTGGGTGAAAAAGAGAGGGCGACCACTACATCTTGTCACTGTTTTTTTGTAAGGGAAGTCAGTTAGAGATGTTATTGGGTTCAGGCTATCAGCTCCATTTCAGACCAAGGTCATAATTACAGGTCCATTGAGACCTCTAGTGGCAACACATTTGCTGGACCCAATCTCCTACTGGATTATTGTCAGGAGAAAGTTTGTTTTGGCACCTTTGCATTTAGGCATAAGCATTAGATTTAAGATTCAAATAGGTTGATGTTTACCAGGGCCACCTGGGAAAGTTGACATTATGTTGAAAGAGCTACGTTTTAATGGTACTATATTGAGTGGGCTAATTCTGTCTGGTCAGCTATTGAGAAACACCTCTGGTGCTGGTAGGGTCGCATTGATTAAGGTCGCTTGAAAAGATTAACTCCTGTCAATTGTGCAGACTTGGGACTTGCCGTTAGTTGACACACTTTCTTCACTAAAAGGGTTAAAGTGTATTTACAGCAGATGCTTGGTTTTCTATGTTAATACTGGTTTATAGGAAAACGACTTTCTCCAAAGCAAATATTTTTAACATCCTTAAGGGCTATGTTGTCAGTCTTTTCTGATGGATACAAACTTAGCTCAGGACAATGGTGCTGTAATTAGCCATGTAACATAAGAGAGCTCAACCACTGACTGAGCATTCTCCATCTGACAAAAGAGTATTTTGAGTAATCATTTCTGTATGCTTCCCCTAACCCTAACCCCATGGCAGCTTCATGTGCTTGCGATTGCGTAGTTAAAAGACCATTATGCATTGGGAAATATTTAATTCAGTGTTTATTTTATTTTATGAGTTCCAATTTGATAAAACCCCCTCCAAGGTGGTTTAACATCAACTCAATACAACAACTTTTGGATGATGATGATTGATCTAACTTTTGCAAATCTTGGCAGCAAGATTTCATTGTTTTGTGGAGAGTTTCCCGACAAAGTACAATTGAGTGTTCTGGTGTCCACATACTTGTGCTTACAAATGCACTGTTGACAGGCTGGCCTCAGAATAACTATAACAACATTAATTATCTTTTTTTCCCTTGTTTTTCAGGTAATGACTGGCTGCATTAGGAGGGGACAGAAGACTTCTGCAAAAGATGCTGATGATCATCTAATCATCTTTAGGTAGAACAAATATAGGGAATTGGTGTGTAGTTATCTGTGATCATGTGGTCTGGACTAGAAGCCAGAGGGATAAGGACAGCAGATTGAACCCAGAAGAAGCGAAGCACTGACACCCTGACTGCACTTCTGGCGATGCTGTAGCAGCACGGAATGGTTTGTGGGTTACATAGAGATGCAGGCCATACTGTGCTGCCGCAGAAGAGCCTGAAAATACGACCTCGCACCCCTTCAACCTGTGTAACTAAGCCGACATGCTTACTGTTCTAAACGTATGCAAAGTAGACAACTGTTTGCATGATGATTAAAAGTTGTCTGAATTTGCCTTTGCTGGTCGCCTTACTGTAGCAGCACGTAAATATTGGAGTTAAGACTTTAGCTGAAGCCTCCAGTATTGATCGTGCTGCTGAAGCAAAGCTGATCACTCACAATCAGCACAACCAACCTAACCCGTGACGACAGGCTGAATGGTGACGGATACCCACAGGTACACACAACCACTACTTTGTTCTAATAGTTAAAATGTGTTGATACCATCTTTACATGTCACTGTTCTGTCTGCACACTTGAAAAATAAAAAATTGAATTGGCTTTTGACTGCGATCTGTTTCGACCATGATTACATTGTTTTTAAAAAGAATAATGTTCATAGTATATAAGGATGTTATTTTAAGTTATACTGACACGGAATGCCCCTCGTTTAGATCAATTCACCGCCATACATGAAGAAGAAATCCTGCACATGACAGCCGCGTGCCCTCCCTGCAGCGCTGTGGGAAAGTCCGGCCTGTCAGCCGATCACAGATTTGCTGCGGATTTAAAATTAGTACAATAATTATACTATTTCAGTATAAACACCAGTTTTTCTTTTTCGAAAATGAATCGTTTAAATGTGAAGATATTTTGATTTCGAAAATGTTTTATAAAACAGGTTTCTGCTCGATTTGGACCCAGACGGTCTTTATGATTTCCTCTTTTATACCCAAAGGTTTGACATTATTTGTGTATCATGAATTCAATATGCACAAAAGATATGAGAGAGTCCAATTTTAACGGCAACGCTACGCATGACGTGTCCCGTAACATGGCCTAAATCCTCCTTTTTAAGTTGCTTCGGATGCGCGTAATGCGGGCATCTCAGTTGTCCCAGGGCATCAGGGGACGATCATCTCAAATCAGATTTACCTAATAAAAAATCATTCATTTAATTTATTTTAAACGCTTTTTTTTAATATTTGGCATCTATTGGTTGACCTGGCTTTTTTGCATTTTTTTTTACCACAGGTTTATGTGACTTTGTGCCGTAAAACAGACATCTTCAAGATCAGATTAGTGGTTGCTGCTCACCAAATCGCACGGACCAAATCTTGCTTTGGATGAAAATAAATCCACAATAGATAAACACTTGTTATAATTATTTACTTCATTGATACATTTCACGTGGAAATGATGGGTCTTTTCTGATTTTAACATGTTCTAAAGCCCGGTATTGTGATGCCGTCCACCGAGTGAACGCCTTTTCCTTTAATTTGGCCTTGTAGGCCACTTTAATAATAATTCTAAATTATCTTCTGCTAGTTTTTTCGCAATCATAATTATATATTATCTGGATTTAAGGTATTTGGCAATAGTGGGATTTTCGAAAAATTATACTGGAGAGAAGAAAAAGTGAGATTTGTGATTGTTCTTTTTTCCTAAGCGCTAGGAGTTTCTCTGAATTATAATTTTTTTTAATTGAGAAATATTCGAATTTAGTACATATTTTTGAAATATAAGCCTTCATATAATATATAATTGTATTATTGGCATAGCTTATTTCTGTGTAAATATTAACAATGTCAACGCAGGCCTACTTAATTCGTATTAATTTTGGAAATTATTCAATAGGTATACCCTTTTTTTTTTTACAGAATGTTAAATGTAGTGTGTGTCTGACTGTTCCGTCTTTAGAAAAGCAATGCACATCAAAATATGGAAGCAGTCCTGATAGTGATGCGTTAAATTCCACATGTTGTCTTACAACTGTTATGCTTTACTTATTATGCCGTTTTGCCTTTATTATGCCTTATTCAACGCTTTTTTTTACATGTATTTATCGTGCATATTTTTAATTACCTGTACAATTGTAGAATAACACGTCCGTTTTTTGCACATGTAGCCTACTACTATACTTTCACTCACATTTTTCAGAAAATGTTTTAATTAATTTCTCTGGTAAATTAATGTAATAAAACAAAGTAACATGGAAAATTATGCATTTTATTACAGGGATACAAAAAGTCTTTAATCCCCCTCACACACTCAGAGCCTCGGTGCAAAACTGTGGCTCCTGCAGTGATGTGACTGAACAGTGGAGACATCAAATTGGCTTTGCACTCATCTGGATATTATGTAATCTGGATTGTTAGCAAATTCGACTTTAAATGTAGTTTCTATTAAGCCACACCATAGGCCTGTGTAGATGTATAGCGGCTCACCATGCGACCTGGCTTTTTGGTAATGATTCAAAAAAGTCTAAAATCGGAAACAACATTTTGTCTTAATTTGGATTTTGTTAACGTTTGCAAAGGCTATATTCAAATTTGCGTGCCATGACAATTAAAATATTAATGTAGAGTGGTCCATTTATTTTCATGCTGTATTTGCCTGGCAACAGAAGGCTATATATATGTACATGCGTGCCATGACGTACATCCTGAATTATGGTCAGTGCTGACATCACGGGTTCACTTGGTGGTCTGATTTTAGGATTTCTATCAATTTACTCTATACTTCAAAATCAACTTCTGCTCTGGAGAATATATACACATAATGATAAGTAATCAATGCACTGTTCACTGTTTGTAATTTCGCTATATATGGCCTATTTTTCTATTAAGACCATTATTTGGTGATGAGCCAAAAGTCTCCCATCCTAACCTAAATGGGAAATAATTTGAATAGCCTTGCTTCGATGTTTCCACAAACTTGCATTTTGATTTCAGGCTTACAATTCAGTGTTCTGCAAATTCAAATGCATTGCAGAAAATACGTCTGAACTGCAGTCTTAAGTTAACAGGCAGCAGATGTTTGACTTTATAGACCGGACAAGTCATGCAACGAACGAGTCACGTGAATCTCCGCAAATAGGTCTTGTGTGGAAATAAAGACACTTCCCTGCAGACGTGACAATCGTATATTGCCTTATAGTATTATTATCAATGATGGGGGGGGGAGGAGGAAACAGCTGTCAGTTTTCATGGATATATCATTAACATATACGGTGTTCTTTTTCCCTTCCTTCTCTGCAGCCTGGTAAATATTTCACACGGGCCCTGTTATGCAACGCTTGTAACCTTGAAGAGGTTGCAGCATCACTGTGGTGCTGACTCGCTCTGCAGGGAAGAGGCCAGGAATTACACTGTCAATTATTTTTATTACACACGTAAGGCTCGCTTGTGCCTCTAAAAAAAAAATGGGCTGAGTTGGCATGACGCACTAAATAAAAAAACAAACATGGACGTGACTTACATTTCACTGTTTATTTATCAAAATCATCTTGGAGAGCGTCATACTGATAACAAAAAAAAAGAGAAAGTAGATTGCACATCGATAGTGTCTATCTATGTAAATGCAGGTTACCGTTAACTGTTACTTCTAACTGTTCATTAGTGGTTGATTTTATTTGATTCGTTGGCTTCAATGAAGTTGGAGCTTGGCCAAAAACGAAAAAAAAGACATAAAAAAGTGTTTCCATATATTGAAGTGCATATCTGTCATTAGTATTATGCGCGTCAAGGGTCCCTTGGAATGTAGCAGTGAGCGCACGACAGAGATGTCAAAGGCTATTCATTAAACAACGTGTCAATAACATTGACAGTATAGTAAAAGAAGTTCACGATACATTCCTGACCAGCACCCACTAAACCTGAGTACATGTCAGTCATCTCCTGCAGGTACACCCCAGTGTGGGTCAGGTGCGAGGAAACAGCAGTGAGCATCGGTCCAACCTGCGAGGGCACGTAGGGTGCCAGGTTGTGCGGCTGCAGCACGAGCAGAATCGGCAGTAACACACTTATTAATAAGGTGATCCATCTCGACGCTGGCATCCGTGATCCCCCCTCTCGGTAGTGGCCATTCTGGTGGGGGACTGAGATCTTGTCCACTTCTCTGAGCCTCAGTGAGTCCCACTTCTTCACATCGAAATTACGCACGAGAGGACCGACGTCCGTGTCTTTCCGAGAGGGCAGCGGAGTCTCCTTCAGGATCTTAAACTTCTCCCGAAACTCCTGCATCTGCTGCAGAAAGCACAGGGGGTCGGATACACTCCGGAAAGTCTCGGCGATGCCCAGCGCCCGTGTGTGCTCCTCCACCGCCGCGCTCAGCTTGGTGATCTCCGGGTCGTATGCCTGCAATACCACCAGCTTCAGCGTTTCAAAATCTGAGAGGATCTCATTCTTTTTGCATTCAATGTTACTGATGAGTTTGTCGAAATAATCTGTCACCTTTGCTGCGTCCTTGGTCACATACTGTAGTGCCTTTTTTTTACTGGCTTGCAGTGTCTCCAGGCAGGACAGGATGTCTGCGCTCTGCCAGCTCTCCACCCCGCGCAGCAGCTCTTCATACGCCTCCTTCTCCTGCTCATACGCCTCCTCCAAGGAGCAGAATGTATGCCCTCTGTGGTCATCTGTTGTCGCGCAAAACCCACAGATTAGGTTTAAATCCGTGGCGCAGAATATGTTTAGAGGCTGGCCGATGTGTTGTTTACAAACAGACATTTTAGGCATAACCCTTATTTTGCTGTATTTCTCCACAATCCCACGTAGAGAGTAGTTGATCTGCAGGCTGTTGGCGCCGTTGTGAGGGGTCTCTTTGCGGCATGTGGGGCATTTGATAGGTGTTCTGAAATGTGGACCTCGGTTTCCATCCAACAGTCCCTCCAAGCATTTCTTGCAAAAGCTGTGAGAGCACAGCAAAACCCGGGGGTCTTCGAAGAGACCGCAGCAGATTGGGCACGTAAGTTCCTCTTCTAGCTGCTCCATGGTATCCTGTAAACACATCACCCAAGCGTCAAATCGGTTCTTAATTAAAGCAAAGAAAACCCAATAAATCAACACTCGTAAAATAGGCTGCCCAATACGCACCCACACTGAAATATGCTGCGCCATAAAGGCAGACAGGCATTAAACTACACAGCAAAATGCTGTAGCATCGCAAAGGATACAGATTTTGCAGTCATGTTCCAGCTGTTTGAGGAGTATTCCCATCTTGAAAGTGAAACTGACTTGCATCGCTTTGCCCGCGTAAAAGATTGGTATGAACTCTGCCAAAATCTCCATTTGGACATATAACGTTAAAAAACATCCTGCTTTCTGCTGTCATTCTGTAACCAGCTCACGTTGAAGAAAACAAACGCAAAAATAAGGCTGGATATAAGTCAATAAATCGTGAATAACTTTATAAATGCAAACTATTTTCTCCTAGCGTTGTATAACAGAACAGCAGGGCAGTGGTTAGCTAATCTAGCCCTATATTACCGCCGTCTAACCAATCCAATGCGACAAATTATCGACAAGCAGGGTTCGCGTTAGCGTTGCTCCTGTTGGCAAGGTACTGCA